CCCCCCCCCCCAATTTTTATTTTCCAATTGAAATGCTGTGGGTAGCAGAGTAAAGATTATACTATTAAATATATGTTTACATATATACATATATTCACCACTATATCCGTATTTATTGACTGGAAATTTCTAAGTAATTAAAAGGAAAAAGAATGGGAAGCTTTTGCAGGTGGAAAGTAAACGTACTTACAGAAGCTCTAAGGAAATTATTGTTGTCCTAATACAGCGCTACCACTGTCGAAGAAAATAGAGCGGATGTGCTGACTCTATAAATATACACACTATTCTTCCAGAATTCAGGACACTGTACATCACTGCATTCTTATTCTGCCTCATTTAATACTCACAGACAGACTGTAAGAAGGTTCCAGTATCACTGGCACTGACATCTTCCCTTGAAGATTCAATTTGGTTAAGTAAAAAATCTTTTCTCCCACAACCCTCTCTTTTTTCATGCGCCGTACGCTGTAGAGTCTGAAGCGAACCGCGTAATTCCCAATCATCTCAGACTCCACGTGACTGAATTTGAATGTCTCTGTGAAGACAGGGCACGGTCCCCGCTGGATGCTGGTTTTTGCTCTCTGCTTCTTTATGGGGAGAAGAACTAGGTGTACTTGCCACGAGCTTCCACCTGTCCTGCTGTAAGTGGGAATGTCTGTGACAGCTGTCACTGTCACCAAAAGCTTCTGTTCCTGTGAGTCATAGTCAAAAGTCACATCCAGTGTGCCGTATTTAGCTACTGGCTCAGGATCAAAAGGTTTAGGAAGCTGTGAAGACGATCCTCGAGCTGACATATCCTGAAGAACAGGAAGAAAAAAAAAAAGCTATTGATTTATTTATTTATTGTATTCTATTATTAAATCCAGCATGAAAATATATGGCTTTCTCTAAGCAATATGAAGGGACTATGATCATCTTATTCCTTTCATACACAAGGTACTTAAATGCCACGAGGAGACAGCTGACTAGCAGCCAAGAAAAATCCAAAAGCCTTTACCTGGCCAAGCCAGGAGCCAGTAAGACACAGCTCAGATTAAATTGGGATCCATTTCTTAACTCTTCTCTGTGCCCGACATGTTAAAATGCATATCCATTTGCTATGAGATAAACTACCTCATTTCAGTGCCAGTATGCACACATTTTGAAATGAACATTATGATTAGAGTTGTTTAAGAGCTGACTAGTGATTTGAGAGCATGGTGAGACACAGCAAAAAATACAGGAATTCCAATACCTACTTGCACATGTAGCTCTTGTTGCACTCCACAAGGGTTCTACCAATGTGCCAAAAATTACCATGGTTTTCTTAATGTAATTTTACTGGAACTGTGTAAGATGCATCTGTCCTGAACATACCTTCTGAACTTTCTGTAAACAGCATCAGTCCTAAAACTGCATTTCAAACTTAAAATTAAGAATGTTTATTGTCACTTCAAATTTTGAACAAAATATAGATGCCCTACATTGTTACAACAGCTAGTTTGATAGTGATGCTGAAACACAAAATACCTACAAGTGCAGGTCAACCTACTATTCATAAGCTATTCCAAGTATGTAAACCAAATGTATTTCCTGTGTATTATCATATTATCAAAGATAGGTTGGTTCATGTAAATGAATAGATATCATAATAAACCCTTTTGGATCAAAAAATGTCATGTTCTTATTTTAAACCAGTTGCTACACTGCTATTGGAATTTGTTCCTCTGAAAGCTTTATTCTTCAAGTTGTTGAGTGGCTATAAAAAAAAAGCTGGCAGTATTCTCAGTTCTTATTGAGTATGCCTACACTAATGACTGGTGTGACACTAAACGGGAAGAACTAGGATTAGATTTGCTGCAATCTGTTAGGGTTTGAGGACCATATGTACACACCATGTCTTCACCAGTAATGAAGTTCATACAGATTCTGGTCTTAGCTCATCATCAGGTACACACAGAGAGCTAGCTGCTGGAGGAAGCTGCAGCTGCATCTTCCAGGTGTTGCATCAACACCCCACGTATGCAACATCAACTTCACAAGAGGTCTACTAAAATAGAAACAACTGCTGACACATCAGGACTGAGCCCTAATATGCACTTCAAATCTTCAGGTAGAGGCAAAAGACAAATGCGTACCAAAAAAAGCCTCTTCTGCACATGACATCACTGATGTAGCCTTACTACTGGCATCAGTGCAGAAACTGGTTGTTAAAGACTTTTCAAGGAAATACATGTCAGAAAATACAATTTCTTCATGGTAAAAATAAATAGGTATCTTTACAGTTCACAGCAGAGAAAAGGAAAATTAAGTGGACCAAATCTCTATACTACCATTAACAATTTAAAAGAAGTTTTTGTAACAATTCCCTCCCTCCCCCAAAGATGTTTTACACTATGGGGTGTTCAGTTTGAAAAGTGTTAACAAACTATTTTTATTTTTTATTTGGGTGATTTGAAAAATTATATGGAACAAAAAGAATTTTGACTACAGTCATTAGAGTGTGATGAAGTTTTCCGCCGTAAAAGAACAACCTGAAATCCTATTTAATAATTTCTGACAAACTAAACAAATGAGGTGCAGTATCAGTGTTCATGTAACTGTGCAGTCATCTTTAGATAACAAAAGAGCAATGAAAAGGCTGCACTGCATGATGCTTCAGAGCACTCAGCTGTTTTTATTTACCTCTGGACTAAGGACAGCTGTGCTATCACTTGGTACATCCTCTTCGTATCCTTTGTTATGAAAGCTTTCTATTTCGTGTCCCGTGCTTCCCTCACTTGGGCACTTATATGAACATCTTGGACTGTTGCTACACTGGGAGAATTCACATTTACTATCTCCGACTTCTGAAGGTGTACACGAAAGATGAGGAGAACCACTATCATCCTGGTATGGAGGTGGCTGCAGTTCATCCAGTGGAGGTGTTCTTCTCATCCTCTGAATGCAGTTCGCTGCAAAGAAGTGAAAATTCTTTACTTACTTTCTGATTATTTAGCGTTGAAACACTTCTGTGGAAAACGGTCAGTCTAAATATCTGGACAGAGAGTTTAAAAATCTGTAAATGTCTTTTGTTTTTTACTCTACATTTCAAATGAGAGAAAAAACACTACTGAAACATTTGTTAAAAGATGGAAATGAACGATCACTCAGATGAAAGAGATCCAGATAAAACCCAAGTATTAAGTACATAGCCACAATGAATTTTGTGAAGTATAGATAAATAAATATAGCACAAATATGACATGACAAAAGTTCTAGGCTTGAATTTCAGGGACGCTTACCTTGCAAAAACCTTTGGATATCTTAAGTCATAGTCTTTTCAGGTGGAAGGTAGACCAATTAAGGAAACAAAATGCACTCCCTAAAGCCATTATATCAAAGTTCTGATTACCTCCCATGCAGTTGCTCACCCAGGGAGATATGAAATTAAACCCTGAAGACAGATAAGGTACCAATAAAGGCAGACACAAGCCTTTTCACACAAGTGAATTCTGCTCACTGGTGAATTTAACAAGTGAAGCAGTGTCTCAGATTCTTTATAACTTGTTAAGGACAGCTAAAGGGTACGTATCTGGTGTCTAGAAGTTAGACACTAGATCCGGTCACTAAAGACAGTGGAAAAAGGATCATGAGCAATCTTGTGCTTGGGATGAATACTTGATGCTGACTACCTTTGCTTCTCACACTAGACAGATAGATAGAAATGTGGTTATGCATTTCCTCAGAAAATAAACCTGATGTCTGGCTATGGATATAGAAAGTTAATTCAAAATAATTACCTTTCAATTTTTTTTGATCTCATATTGTGCTATGCAGCATTACACAGCTGCTAGAATTGGGAGAAGACAGCAAGGCATGCAGTAGTTGAAATGAAAGGAATACCAAGAACAGGTGAAAACCTGTATCACATTTTGTTTACACCTTCTGTAGCGATTTTAATGAAGATTTCAACGCCCCTCACACATAGAATTAACTTTACACAAAAATTTTAAAGCAACAATGATTTCTGGTGTCAGACAGATCACTTTCACCCACAGAAGAATCTGCCAAACAAGGGAGTTAACAGAAGTATTAACACTAGAGCAATATAAGCTTTGATTTCAGCTTTTTCTAAGAATTAAAAAGATTTCCTTTCCCATATGAAAAAGGTGGTGCATTTTAGCTTCATAATCAAATTTTTGTATATAGGATTGCCCTGTCTATGTCCTAAATTCTCATCAAGGAAACAAACCTTTTAACTGCTTCAGAGGCAACTGCCAATTTTTTAACATATCACATAAACTGAGTATGCTTAAGAGCTTCATGTTTCTTTATGGAACAAGGCTGGAAAGGCAGTAGTGTGTTTCTGTTGTTTCTAAGGCTCCCTTTTGTTCTCCTTTCCTTTGGAAATCTGGGCTGTATCCAACTGTGGATATACTGGAACATTTCACAGCAACTGGGATGATGGAAACCCAAACCACTATTGCTTCAGTTCATACTGTCCATGGGAAGGAAACCCAGGCACATCGGCTAGAAGGGAGCCAATGTGCACTGCAGATCCCCAGGACTGGGCAACTTGAAGGACAGTTTATTATGGAGCATAGCTACTGCATGGATGAACGTCTAACTGGGGAATGCAGGGCTCTTCTCTATTTCACTGGGCTCCTAATGGAACCACTACTAGCTTTAGATAAGGCAAATCAGTAATTAAAACACTCTTACAGATGACACTGCTGTCAAGAATCCTCTCTTTTTTGATAAACCCATCAGAGCCAGCCTACCATTTAGAGTGAGTCCAAATTACTATTACAGTGCTCCTGCAAAAGGCCTTCTGCTGTTAGTTAGCCCAGTGCCACTAACTCTTGAAACTCCAGTTCCAAGGGCTGGAAAGGAAAACAGAGCCAGCAGGGGATCCTATACTTGAAACATAGTCATCAGTCTAGCAGATACATATATAACCTTACATACCAAACAGAGTGAAGTGGGACAGTCAGGATCTTGAAATTGCCAGGCATCAATAGGGAGAAAGGTTTATTTGCAAAACAGAGAGATATGGGAAAGCACTTTGATTTGGGGTTTTTGCTGAGGTTTTGTTGATTTTTTATATTAGATAACTTGTGCCCATGAAACTAGGTCGACATAATTTTAGGATCTCCTTTGACTATCTATACCACGAAAACAGGACTTCTTTTTCATACTTTATATAATGAAATACTCTAGGAAATTTAGAGCAACAACATTTCTGCTTCTTGTTGCTGAAAGGCAACAAACAGCATTACATGAGACAGTAACCACCGCGTATCTATGATTGAGTTTCTTTCTTTTCACTTGTAGTCAAGTCTGCAAAGACTTTTAAACTCCCAGCTTTTTCCACAATCTAACGAAATGAAAGCGTGTCTGGGTAACTATCAACACCATTATTGTCTTACAGGAGTAAATAAATGACGGTGTGACTCACTCTTTTCACTTTGATGAACTCCATTATATGTCCCTATGGGAAAACTGCATAGGCTGTTTGGCAGAAAAGGTACTTTTAATGTAAGTGGGGAAAAAAGTGAAGAAAAGAAAATTCTTATTAACCAGCTGCGATTCCAAAATATCAGAATAAGCTGAAACACTGGCACAGGATTTAACTATTCAGTTTGGAAAGTTTAGTTTACCAGACAGAGCAGGTAAATTCTTAAAACAAATAGCCCACTTCAAAAATCTAAGGACACCTCTGCCTAAAAAGGTAGAAAATGGTTTTGAACATTCTTTATATAAGAAGATATCAAAGTTTTCAAATTAATTTTTAAAGTGGAAATGATAATTTAAAATTAATTTGCCCTCCCCACTGTAAATGATGCAGTAAAATGATGGATTCATGTTACAGCTCTCCAAAAATCCTGCAAATCTGAGTTACACAAAGACATTCTAACGACTAGTGATATCAAAGACAAACGATACCACAGACAGAAGTGAATACAGCAACACTGAATAGCTGACACTGGTTATTCTCCTTAAAAATTACACAGAAGTAACAACTTCAACAATCAATCCATCCACAAACTTTTGCATATGTATCGAAGTTTAAAATACAAAACCACTGCTAATGCATGCTGGCCTAACTGACTGTATGAGAGAACAACATTTGAACCTGAAAGGAAAGCATGTCCTGAAGTGTTACCACGTCTGCATGCAGAACCACTGCTCTAACACACCTTGCACCTTTCATTTAAGGTGTAAACTTAGACACAACTACACTTGCACATACTTGCACACTGACAAAGCCAAAGAGTATCCTCCAAAGACCACTGAATGTGACTAATAACAGCTGCTAAAGAGTTACTCTTAACTAGCAACTGGATACAGTGAAAATCTAAAATGAACTGTTGCATTGTTTCTATGCAGGTTTCCCAAGAAACTTTCCACTCTCAAACCAGATAGAAAATAAATTTTGACAATTCCCCCAACTAAACTAATCACACTAAATTACCATCCCAGTTTGGACTAGACAAAATCAAGCCAAAATATAACCCAAACCTGGAAGAAACAATCACAGAGAAGCCAAACTGGGTTTAGTCCGAGATTCCTACCAGCCAGGAAATGCCAGAACAGAGGAGAGACAAATTAAAAGAAAGATCCCACATCCAGTTTTCTACCCAAAGTATTTAAAATGCCTTTATATTCTCATAATGTGTTGTTATTAAACTAAGTTGTTTAGTAACAAATATGTAATAAACTCTGAATTGAGAATCCAGTGTATTGCTGTCAATAGGCAGCTTTGAATACTCAATCTTTTGAGGGTTAACTGCTTTAGTTAAAATTGTCACCCTTCTTTAGTGGGCTGGGAGAACACTCATACAGCGGTAACAGTGAAGTCCTTGCTGAAGAAACCAGAGCTACAAGTGAAATAGCTGACAAACACAAGCAGATTAGCAGTGTGCTGGTACACTCAGAAATTACAGCATGTAAACTGTCATTAGCACATTTAAGTCAGAAGTAAATAAATACCTTCTCTTCACTACTGTTTGTTAAACAATGAAGGTTAATCTGTTTTCCCAAGTCCCTGCACTGATTGAAAGCTGAGGGGAGATGACACACATCAACCTCAGGGGACTGTCAGTGAGATGTGACACAGCAACCTAGGCCAAAATGTGCATTCCTGGAGCATGCAGTTGGTAAGTATGCAGAAAATACACAAACTTTTCCAGTCATTTTTCTGAATGGAATCAGTTTAAAAATAATGACAGGCTGAGAACATTGGGGCTGTTCAGCCTGGGGAAGAGAAGCTGCGTGGAGACCTCAGAGCAGCTGCCAGTGTGTGAAGGGGGCTACAAGGATGCTGCAGAGGGACTCTGCAGCAGGGACTGGAGCGATAGGACAAGGGGTGATGGGTTTAAACTGAAACAGGGAAAGTTCAGGCTAGATATAAGAAAGAAGCCCTTCCCTGTGAGGGTGGTGACACACTGGCACAGGGTGCCCAAGGAAGTAGTAAAGGTCAGGTTGGACAGAACCTTCAATGACATGGTCTAGTGGAAGGTGTCCCTGCCCATGGCAGGGGGTTGGAACTGGATGATCTTAAGGTCCTTTCCAACCCAAACCATTCTATGATTCTATGATTCTATTTGAACTTTCTACTTCTGATGCTCCTCATTTCTCCTCTCTGTTCTGGTCCCCTGCAGACCACACTAGCGAGGCTACACCACATTCTACCATAAAACCGGTAATGTTCCTTTCCCTGTTTACAATGTTCAGACTTTGCTATTTTAATTGATTTTCCCAAAGGTTCTCAGCAGCACAAGCCTAACTTTCTTTAGCCTGTATTTCCTGACTCATTCCAAGAACATCCATCTCAATGTATGGGAAAAGAAACCATCCTTTTGGTTTTAATTCCCCTGTCTCAGAAGCAGTAATTAACTATGCTTTTGCAACTTGGAGTTTCTCATATATATTACTTCTTTAAATATTCATACTATTGTGGGAGGCAACA